TTAACATTAACTTAACAGATGTATGAAAGTATCCCTGAATTATGACTTCAAGTACCATTTTGGAATGAAAAAAAATTCAATGTACCAAATGTTAAAAACCAAAAAACTTGAGGGTTATAAACTAAGATTAAGTAATATAATATGTTTATTTATTTACTACAGCTAATTAATTAAATGACCACATAAATTTTATCCAACTTTATGCATGCACTACAAGTCAACAAGTATTGTAGAGAAATGCCATGTAGACTTACCTTCATCCACAGTAGGCTCACTATATCACATGGAAACATTGAAATTAAGAAGCAACAGATTTATAGGAGAGTTGCCTTCATCCTTCAAGAATTGCATCACTAATTTGTTATTCAAGAATTCCACCAATTAAGAAGCAATGGTAACTAAATGTTATTTTATTTTTTCTTTCTGAAAATGAGCAATATGCATGCATCTCTTTGTAAAGTCTCCCTTATTAATTTGGTTGTTTTTTTCAAAACTTAATTATGAGTGCTTGTTTATTTTTATCTTTAGCGTCTTTTGAGACATCGATGACTTCACTAGAAGAGCTTCCACATGCCATTATCTATACAAGTTTTCAAGTATTAGGTTGTCATATCAAGAACTTTACTATTAAATCTCCTTCGCAGATGATTTCTTAGTGTAAATTGTTTGTAAGAAATTTACTGCTACATTTACTTTATCAAGACCTTTCTGCAGTATAAGTTATGAACCATGATATTTACTAAATAAATTCAGTTAATTCTAAACTACATATGACTGTTTTGTTCGTCACAAATTTTAGTTCAAATGATTGGTTGCACTCCTGTGCAAAATCCTGTCAAATTTACTAAAGGGTTAACTTTTATTTATTTATTTATTTATCCAAGTAGTAATTTATATCTATGTCTAACAACGATGCCACGACATTTAACAAACTAATTACTATTTATTTCATCATAAATAATACATTGACAATCCTATATGCTTTTTGTACACAAATTACAGAAAATTTCATGAAAAATAATTGAAGATATATAGAGGTTGTGAAGGGTGAAAGTGGGGTGAGGAGAGAATTTAATAGAAAAATTAGTATATGGGCACACAAAGTGTGTGAAATTTTTTATTTTTGTTTTTAAAATTGAAGGAGAGATAAATGGGGAGAGAGTGAGAGAGTGAGAGAGTGAGAGAGGTTCAATTTTTAATTTTTTTTAATTAAAGGTGTTAAAATCACATATAGGTGAGACTTAAACAAAAAACAACAAAATTTTGTTTTGTGAAATTACGTATGTAAATACACCAGTAAATATTAAATAAACTGACACCAAACGAACCCCTGGTACCAACAAACTCATTAGCAATTTAGCATTACTATGGCTTCCCTGTTTACCGAGTCTTGGTCTAAAGTTGTCATTATCTTCCTACTGATTCTCCCATTTTTGGTTTCAAGATCGTGCGCCGGGCGCATTGTGGTTTACTGGGGCCAAAATGGAGGGAGGGCGCACTAACAGCAACATGTAACACAGGAAGATACCGGATTGTAAACATAGCATTCCTCTCACAGTTTGGCAATGGCCAAACCCCTCAAATCAACTTAGCCGGCCACTGTGATCCGGCGTCTAACGGCTGTCAAAAAGTGAGCACCGGCATCAGAATCTGCCAGAACCAAGGCATTAAGGTCCTGCTTTCGATTGGTGGCAGCTTGGGGAGTTACACGCTATCATCTGTAGATGATGCTAGAGGTGTAGCGGACTACATATGGAATAACTTCTTAGGGGGGCAATCAAACTCGAGGCCTCTAGGAGACGCCGTATTGGATGGCGTGGACTTCGATATCGAGAGAGGTGAGATTCACTAAGCTGCACTTGCTAGGAGGCTGTCTGAGTATAGCCAGAGAGGCAGAAAAGTGTCCTTAAGTGCAGCACCGCAATGTCCGTTTCCTGACCAGAAACTCAATGGTGCACTAACCACTGGCCTATTTGACTATGTTTGGGTTCAATTCTACAATAATCCAGTGTGAATTCACCTCTAGCAATCCAGATGCCTTCAAGAACTCATGGAACAAATGGACCTCCTCAATACACGCTGATCAGTTCTTCGTGGGCCTCCCTGCTGCGTGGGCCCGCTGCTGGCACTGGCTACGTGCCTTCAAATGATCTGATAAACCAAGTTTTGCCTTTTGTTAAGAAATCTGCGAAGTATGGAGGTGTCATGTTGTATGATAAGTTCAATGATGACAAGAGTGGCTATGGTTCAAAGTTTCAAGGGAGCGTGTGATTTAAGCCCCAACTAAAAAATGGCTTAAAAAGTAAGTAAAATAGATAAGTCGTGCTTTTTCATCAGTTTATCGTTTCCTTTGATAATAAAGTGAATGCTTTACACACACACACACACACACAGGCTGTTCAAATCTTTAAGTTTATGATGTCTAATAAATTCTTATTTATGTTGAAATCCCAAGTTTATAATTCAAATTTTATGAATTAGAAATTCAAGAGCTAGTAAGGAAAACTGTACATGGCAAAATTGCCGGGATCACCTTTGACACATGCATTCAAGATAACTTATACTTATGGGAGGGGAATCAGTAATCCAATGTATTGTATAAATGTAGAGGCTCGGAATCCGCTTTATTTATTTATTTATTTTTATTTATTTATCAATGGTTAGGTGGGGTTTTGATAGAGTAGGGAGAAAGAGGGTGGAGGAGCATCGAACCTGAGTGAGAAGGGTCACATGAGTGCTTAATTTTCACTATAACACTAATCCTCATTGTCTTGCTGTTCTTTTTGAAATGCCATATTATGAATCCAAATAGGAATCTGTAACGTAAATCCAACAACTTTATATGTGAAACTTGACAAAACAAGATTAGAAATCTATTGTTGCCTAAATTCAAAGATTTTTTTGGCTTAAATGTTCTAAAAAAACTAAGAAAATGTCGACAAAATAAGCACAAAAATTTCTAATGAAAATAAAGTTTTGTCACTTAGTACAATAATCTAGTCGTATTTCTCTTCACTTGTAAGAGAAACCTCCCACTCAAAATAGAGTTTTTCCGCTTAATATTACGGTCTTGTTGTATATAACAATTGAAGACCTAGATGCTAACTATCCCTAATCATGTACAACTGTGACCGATATTAGCGTGAGACCGTTAGCAAGGGCCTCTTTAAGTTGTGCATCATTTCTGAATAATTATCTCCTTTTGAATTTTGAGTATGGTCTCCTTGGAGTGTTGTTTACTTGTGTCCTGCACTTACTTGAAGCAGATGAAAGATTAGGACGAAAATCACACACATGCCAAAGGGCTAAGGCAAACAACATTTAAAAAGAACAAAAACTGTGAAAACAAATATAATGTGTTCTGAACTTCTAATTCCAAGAGCCAACAAAGGTTGGTTCTGTTGGTAAGATCTTTGTTTTGTGTTTCGTCCCATCAAGGTTCGAGTCTCATTGTCAGCAATCCTCGTTGGTGCACGATTGGTAAATTCTTATGTAAATCCATACCGGTAGTAGCTGACAGTTACGTGCCACGTGTAAGTCTTTCTAGCTCGAGATTGTAGGTATGTCTTGATGCTGGTGGTGAGAGTAACCAATCTCATCGAAATTTTTGACGATTGAATCCAAGGACCAAGAATTTAAATTACTAATTCAAGTCAATACATTCCCACTTGAATTTTGGCAACTTTATCTTGGATAAAGAGTGGCTATGTTTTGGTTCAAGAAAGTTGATGCTCCACCATAAAACCAGTTGGCAATATGAGGAGTAGGCAACCTCTTATAAGCCTTTACAAGGTTTTTCCTTTCACCAATTTGTAGATGAATTGGTGAAAGAGAACCCAAATTTAGGGACTCTCTCAGTTTTAATAATAATAAAAAAAAATTCTTACTTTCTTTAAACTTTATATAAAATATTGAGTTGGAAATTTGAGAAATGTTATAGATAAAAGTGGACGCACATTAATCAAAATTTGAAGTGTTAAAAAAATATAAAATTTGAGCGCTTAAATTTATTTTTTCTCATGAATATATATCATTGTAAGAATAATAAAAAACATAGAAACAATTTTCCGTTGAAAAGATAAGTCAATCCCGAGGAAAAGAAAGCAATAATATTAACACTTATGCACTCCACTCTCAAGCATTGATTCTTCCGGTTCCAAATTCCCACAAGTAACCTCCCCAATTCAACGAAATTCATATTTGCACTGAAAAAAAATTCCACAAGTAATCTCCACAATTCAACGAAATTCTTATTTGCACTCAAAGAAACAAAAAAAGTGAAAATTTTGAAATAATAAAAACCCAGATGAAATCTTGCCCATTTTTGAGTTTAATCACCACACATCAACAAAATCAAGGAACAGGTAAGCCAAAACTCAAATAATGTCTCCTATCGTGATTTGAGTTTGATCTGCCACCTTTGGTTTTCTGTTTGAAATCTGCTTGATACTAATTGTAGGTGGGGATGGAAAAAGAGTACCGTTTGAAATTTGCTTGATATTGATCAGAGGTGGGGATGGAGAAAGAGGGAGGAAAAGAATTTCTTAAGAAGTTGGTGATGTGTAGAGCAGATGGCGAGATGGCTTGGAGAAAAGCTGTGAGTTTTTGTTTCCGTGAATCCAACTAAATAATACCAAGGTTTTGAACGAGATAAACAAGTGGGTGTAAGGGAGACAAAATAGGTGTGGCCGGATTAATAATCCGATGCTTATTTAGCATGAAAGCTCACCAAACACCTGTGCCTTTTAAAAGTTATAATACTTTTAACTGTTGAATTAAATTTCAAAGACTCGAATTAGATGATTAAGTGAATTTGATGGAAGAGATCCGAAGAGGATCCCTTCCCTGCCACTTGACCTAATAAAATGTTAACGCATTTTTAACCATTTAATTAAGTCTCTATTAAATTATGTTATTTTAATCATTATCATGGTCATAAATCAAAGACGCGTCTTCGAATCCATCGACCATAAAATGCAGCGTCACAGTCCAAAAAAGACCCGCCACTAACTCTATCAAAACCGCCAGAAAGACCAATAGAATCATCCACCAACAAAAAGAAACATACACCCATCATTCCACAACAACGCTTTCCCCTCTCCCTCCCAATTTTCCCGAGAAAATTCCTCTGGTAGAGAAAGTTCTCGAGGAAGAGCGAGAAAATCATGAACAAGATGCACGGGTACACGGAGGTGGGTACGAATAGCGGCAAGGTGGCGGAGGTAGACATAGAGTCGGGGGAGTTGTTGTACCCAGGTCTGAGCAAAGGCGAGAACCAGCTCCGATGGGGATTCATCCGCAAGGTGTACGGAATCCTGGCCGCCCAGATGGTTTTGACCACTCTGGTCTCCTTCGTCACCGTACTCTACGCTCCGATCAACGATCTCCTCAAGGGCAGCCCTGGAATTCTCCTCTTCTTCGCCATCCTTCCCCTAATCTGTACGTAACCCTAAACTCAAAACCTCTAGTTTTTTGCATTAGTTATGGTAATTGTTTTTATACATATTGATTTTAGATCTGAGATTTGGATTTTGGATTCAAAGATGGAGGCTTTTTCGTTGATTTGGGGTTTTGTTGGGTGATTATTTGGTACTAGATTTAAAAGTGCTTCAGATTTGAGTATTCTGTGGGCGATCTTGGTCTTTTTAAATGGTGGTCGAATTTGGTTATTGTTTGGTTTATCTAGTTTCTTATCTGTGATGCGGTTACACTGTTACAAATACTTGGAAAATTTGAGATTTTATCGTGTCGGTGATATGATCGTATTGATGTGTAACTCGAAAAATGCCTGCTTTCTAAGGAAGATTTGCGCTCGTTGTATTGAATTAATCAGTGAACCAATTGCTTGTTGGGTGTTTCACATGTAAGTTCTTGATAACATTACATTTGGGGGAAATATTTCTTTAGAGACGTTACATTAGAAGGGGGACCGAAGGAATTTCCCGACTAAGAATGAATTAGAGCGTTTCGAGTGGATAGGTGAGGGGTTTTTTTGAGTTCTTGAAGTGATTTCCTCTAAAACGTATAGTTTCGATGTCCACTTATGGGTCCTGTTTTCATCATTATTTTGCTTCATCTTATTAACCTGTGAATGTTGCTGCAGTGTTGTGGCCCCTGCATGTGTATCAGCAGAAGCATCCCCTCAATTTTGTCTTCCTCGGACTTTTCACTCTGAGTTTGAGTGTCACAGTTGGCGTGGCCGTTGCGAATACAGACGGTTAGTTTTAGTTCCCTACATTTTGAATGTTTTACTGATATCTTGCAATCTGGAAAAGATTGTAGGGTTTATTTCGGTTGCTGATTTTTCATCTGATTATGTTTGTGGTTTCAGGAGCAATTGTGCTTGAAGCCTTAATTCTAACTTCGGCTGTGGTTGCATCCTTGACTGCATACACCTTCTGGGCTTCGAGGAAGGGCAAGGACTTCAGCTTCCTCGGACCAGTCTTGTTCACTGGCCTCATTGTCCTCCTCCTAACTGGTTTCATGCAGGTCGGATTGTCTTTCTATTACTTTGTTTGGCCGACTCTTTGAGTCTAATTAGTCAAATACATGCGTATACTATACCCAAAACACTTGAAATATCGATCTGACTTGGTGATCTTGTGCCCTTGTGTAGATGTTCTTCCCTCTTGGCCCTACAACTAATGCCGTATATGGTGCCATTGGCGCTATCATTTTCTCTGGGTACATTGTCTATGACACCGACAACCTGATCAAGCGCTTCACATACGATGAGTACATTTGGGCCTCCATCACTCTTTATCTTGACATTCTGAACCTGTTCCTGACTATATTGCGGATGCTGAGGGAAAGCAACAATTAGTCATGCCGAGTACTGACTACCGACTCAACTCTCTGCAGTCTGGTTTTGGCTCATTGTGGACATAGTCTATAGTCCAAGCCTGAACATAATCATTGTGGATGTAGAGTATATGTTTCCTTTTTACTCTTTAAACAGTTCGAATACCAAGCGATTCGTTTTCATTTATGCGATTCATTTTCCATTTTATGGATTTGGTTGCTCGACTTGTTCGAACACCGGATTTTCTTATTTCGCTAGACATGTTTGTGTTTTGATCAGAAGAGAAATTATGACACGCCATATCGAATTAGGTATCAAATTAGGGTGCAAGGAACTCCATTGAACATATAGCAAAGGAAACCCGGGTTTCTAATTTAAGTGAACCACAAGATGTGACATAAATGTGAATGTAAATCACTTATACTTCAAGGTAACAGCTAAGTAAGAGAACATATTTACGTTGTGTAACAACCAAATAAACAATTATCTTCACATACCATTTGCGATTTTCTTGCGACCACAGTTTCATTGTGATTTTATAGCGCCATCTTCTTCATCATCATCGATATCCCAGCTCAAATCCTCCTCCTCCTCCTCTGCTGCGCTAAGCCGCTTGTGCAAATCAGCTCCGTTCGATCTGCTCCCCGTTGCATCCCCTTTGTTCTCGTCTATGCTTCCTAAATCTTCAATCTCATCCCACCCAAGATCCTCTTCCTCAGGCATTGAGGGCTGGCTCGAAACAATCGATACATCACTCTCTTTGCAAGAATCACCACCATCCGTCTTCCCCTCCGACACTCCATCAAATTTGGATTCCGCCTTATCCCCACCATCACTACTTACTGATTCCCTTGCAGCAACTTCAACACTCTCAACATCATCACCCTCCCTTGCAGCAACCTCACAAGAAGCTTCCTTTTGCTTCTCCAACTCTACATTCCCACTCGAACCCACCTTCGAATCTGACCCATTACCCTCTTCCTTCCCTACATCTTCTTCATCATCATCATCATCATCAAAATCCCAACTCAAATCCTCCTCATCACCTGAAATTGCACGATTCACGAGCTTAGTTCTCGCCTCCTCGACTTCCTTCAGCTTATGCACCCTATAAAAGTACCTAGCCCAGAAGCTCTCATTGTCAACCTTACCAGGCACAATCTCCCCATGAATCTCACCAATCACTCCATTTTCCCTCATCAAATTCTCGACTTCCTCCGCCTTCTCGTCCAGCACAAACCCTAATTTCCAGCTACCATAGCTCTCCAAATCCTCCGGTTCCTCCAAATAAGTACTCAAATTACTCTGAACCGCACGCACCTGAGCTTCAAACCTACTGTACTTTCTCATATCACTACCACTGCTACTTAATCTCTTATCATCACCACTAATCTCACGATTATCACTAACATTATCATACAAATTATCAGATTCAACATCATCATCAGCTAAGATTGCGTCCCTACCGTGAGAGATGATCTCCGCCGTCGATTTCCAGACGGTGCTTCCGATATCATCGATCGCCTGCCCCACCGTCTCCAGCGACTCCTGAGCCACCGACGCGCCGACCTCGAGCGAACCAGGAAGATCCTTGACGGCGCGCGAAGCCACCTCTCGAATCACCGCCGTCTCCTTCTTCAACCCGGACCCGAACTCCTTGAGATCGCGGCGGTAGTTCTGGATGACAGACTCGGACTTCGTCGCCAGCGTCGTGATCAGACCTCCGAAGCTCCACGCCCCGGCGCCGTAATTCAGACGCGGACTGCGGTCCGGTTCCCAGTCCGGGTTCGGGTCGACGCCGTCGTTTTGGGAGTCCGGGTGCAGATCGTCGGAGGGAAGGGGGTCGTCGGAGAAGACCGACTTGAAGAAATCCATGAGTGAGAGGAGGAGAGGTTGGGACTTTCGAGATTTGCGGGAATTTTCTGGGATTTGGGGGGATAGAGATTTTCTGAAATCGGATTCGGAGTCGGAGATGAACCGGGACTCTGTATCCGTATCGAGTAAATACTCTTTACAATAATAGCGACGAGGTAGCGTAATCGTAACTTTTAATATTTCGAAAGGAAAATGTGAATTAAATATCCCTTTAAATGCTAAATTAGATTTTTTTTTTTTTTTTTTTTTTTTTAATTCTTCTACACAAGATGTATCTGGTACCATGTATGACGCACCAAAATTGCAAAATAAGTAAACAATTTTAAATACAGTATCCATCGGAATATTCTCACTAGGCAATCATTAACTAAATCAGTTGATCAAGACTGTATTTCTTTACTTAAGTCCGGTCTCTCTTTGTAAACAGAGTTGTTTAAAGGGGTGTTTTGATATAGTTAAAAAAATAACTTGGAAAGATGAGTTAGGGTTTAAGGCTAGACAAATCATTTATGAACAAAACGTTGGACTTATCACGCCCAACTTGTTTATTTAACAAATTGATTGCGCCAACATTTTGGTTTTTTTAAAGGGAGTTTTAATGATACACTTTAGGTACGGTTCATTTTAACGAAAAATGACATTTTATTCTAAAAAGTCACTCTTGCTACAATTCACTTACAACACATTTTTGTCATTTTGATTGAATTCAAAGTTTTCAAGCTCTTTTCATTATTATTATTTTTTTTTTAAAAAAAAGATGACCCTAAACGAGGATAAATAAGGTCCTTATCTGTCATTTTACAAATAACAAACTTGTAATTGAAAATTTCTTTAAAAAGTAAATGGGAAGATAAGATACTAGTAGAAATAAAAGCACTCGTATCTTATTAAGTGTCAGACCAAGTCCTAATTTGATCATAAAAATTCTAATCATTATATACCAAATTAACTTTTATTCTCTATTTGTTTATATAAATAATATAGAGAGAGGGAGACTTGACTCTTTGTGTAAAGGTAAGGGTATTATTCTTCGTTTGTAAGTGAAAATGAAAGCCCGTATCTTGTAAATAGCAGCATTTGATACCAAATTATTATAGCCACCAAAAATAGTCAACTAACATCTCCAAGTCAATCATGAGTTGAGGAAACAAATGCTTCTAAGAATCAAATTCCAAAAGATTATGGGCAACTTCTGAGCAAACTAGTTTGAAAATTCTTCTCTCAATCATTACCATGTAGAACTCTCCAATCTGTAGGAGTTTGATCAATCAAGCAAACACAAAACCTTTATAAGATGGCAAACCCACAGACGAACAAATATACAAGACACAAGTGCTCATGAGCACTGAAAAACAACCATTTTTACATAATTTTTCGGAAATTTTACGACATGTATCAAAACAATTTTCTTCTCTTTTTGTAGTTCAACAAAGATTACAAGGGCATACAGTTGTTGATACACACGACTCCGGACGGCATTATACTCCATTCAAACTATTTTCCCTTTTCTTTGGCACATGGCGTTTTGTCGGACGATAATTGCAGAAAATCGGATATCAGAACAAGCACGACAAGCAGATGTGAGAGGTATTCTACAGATTAACTAGCTGATATACTCTTTCGATTTCCTTGATGATCAGCTCCTTTTCCTCTTCGAATTGCTCGTCTTCATCGCCTGTAATGAGACTATAAATCAGCGGGGATAAATATGACATTAAAGTTAAAAATATTTTTAGAAGCACCATCATTCTTTCACAAGCCAATTCCTGCAAAGAGTTGAATGGCCAGAAAAGTAGAAAGTTAAGAACCTTTTCCAGCAGAAAGATTCTGAAGCAAGTCCGTCAACTTTTCATGGTTTTTAGCCAGGATTAGTTTTACTTCCCGTGGCTTATTAGGATTCGCAACAAAGACCTGCATTTAGAACACAAATATAGAATAATCAGTATTAAACGAAATGCAAAAAATTGAGAAACATGAATGGGAATCGAAGTAATCTCAGACTTTTATTTATGAAGTTGACAAACTTGAAGTTATGGATCAATATCAGACGGCCGGTCAACATTCCCATCCTACAAAGTCGATTAATTCGTAGGCTATATGCATCTTTACATTGTTCCAACCCACATCCCTCACTGCATGAAGTTCAAAAAGCAGCGTACAAAATGCACTGCATATTCTAATCACATTCATACAAACACACACACATCCAGGGAGCAGGAGAGGAAAAATGAGCAGGGGACGCACCTTGAAGATGTGGAAGGCAGAGATTTGGATGTTTTTACTTGAATCCTGCTCATATTAAAAAAGATATTAAACAGCATGCTAAATGCACGAAGTAACAATATTTACGCACACTTCAACGCAGAACCCATAATTTGTTCCTCATAGTCCTAGATAGAAATAGCAATAGTAAATTCAATACCTTAAGCAACGTCATCATGACTTTCAAGTACCGAACTTCTAAGATGTAGCGCTTCATTATATGTGAATTTGGAGTCTCCAAGAGGAATTCAGAGAGAAGCTAAAATCCATATACAATTTATCCTTTAGTGCATCTCATGGACCAAAAGAATAATAGACAGAAGCTGCAAAGTTAGATAACCAGAACCAACCTTCAAAGATTGCCTCCTGGTCACATAATTTGGAGATGTCAAGAGATTCTCATATAGATCAAAGAACTGGAACAACAATTTCTTACCAGATAAGCTCAAAATAATATACACTACAATCTACCAATACACTAGTGAAAACGCATCTTAGTCGAGCAGATATCGTAGGTGAAAAAAATATTCAATCAACATAAACATATGACAAAGTCACACCGCTACAATTGCCGCTGACTATATTTGTACAGAAAAGTATAATAAGATAAAGATTGAGCAAACCTCATCATAGCGAGCAGTCAAAAATTCAGATACTACCGTTCCATGTTTAGTAAGTAGATCCTGCCAAATTCAGGGACATATTATGAAAGAACAGATAGGACCATAAAAGCTCAGCAATGTATACAAGGGTCCAACATCCTTGAAGATTGTGGTTCTGACCTTAAAGGTAGAGAACGCATCAGAAGCAACATCAAAGTTAGGCAGCTCCACAAATTTAAAAAACAACTCAAAGCTCGCAGACTCCAGTATGTATCTGAAAAATACTACACAAATCAAACGTGTGAATAAAAGAAACTTGCTTGCTATTTTGAAGGAAAATAGAAATATTTAAAGATAAAAAGAACGAACAAAAGAGGGTAGCAGCTCTATTGCACCCACATATTAGTTAATCCAAAAATTTCCTGTTTTGCGATCGTTAACAATCTTCTAATGAAAAGTAACAGAGCAGCTCCTTTTCCAAAATAAGATCTACTTTAGACTCATCGACCTGCAATAACCATTAGGGGAAAAAATGGTGAAAAGTTTAAATGTCTTACTTTGCAAGTGCAGGGAATCTAATGCAATCCCTCAACATACTTCCACAATTCAAAGCAATTTCCTTGTTATCATAGCTGCTTGAAAAAGAAACCAATAAGTGTCGTGCAATTATTAATTTACCAGTTGAAAAAGTATGACGACAAGTATAATTTATAAAACATTAGGGACAATGTCCCATTAGTCATAGCTGATGGTGAAATTTACACCTAGCTACGTGCACGAGTCTGTCGTTCACTTACTTAAACTTTAAGTAAAGAAACTGCAAGACGACATCAGCAGAATTTAGACAAGACAACTCTGGTCGTGCAAAATGTTTTATAAACAAATTTTAAAACAGTCGAATTATGAATGGAAAAATACATGCACTCGTGAAACAGAATTATGAATGCAAAATGTTTATTGCATAGATAGAGAACATGATGTCTGCAGTCAAAATATGACATGACAGTAAACAAAGAGACCTTGCCAATTCACAATATAATAATTGATGATTGATTAGCAAACTGGCTGTAGTATTCTTGCGGGTATGTTGCTTTAGAGTCATCATGATTATACCATTGACGTAGTTCTAGTATCCTAACACTTCAGATATACTTCTAGTATCCAACACTTCAGATATACTTCTAGTATCCAACACTTCATATGCCTTCTTCCACCAAATGTCTCACAAGAGCATCATCATTATTATCCTGTCACTACACAACAATATGATATAGTTGCTATACAGGTCACATGTTTTCATTCTGATATACTTCCCTCAAATAAACCCTATCTTTAACAGACACACTGGATTCGAATTCTCCTAAAAGTGAAGGAGAAAGGGAAAGATCAAATTAAACTTACACACACCTCAAACATGGGAAACAACATGTTAGGAAAAGACCAAGGAAAGAATATATATTTTACACAGAAGTACTTAAAAAAACATTAAATAAACTTACCACACGACAAGAAAGTCTAATAATTCCAAATGATTCTCCATGTATTCTGCACAGCAATAAGTCGATTCAACCTTTTGCTTCATCAATATGGACCAACAATGGACCAAATCCTTTCTTGCCTGAAATGAAAACAATTTATCATTGCGTGTAACCAATGCTTCATATGCCAGACATTACGACACAAATGACCGTAACTTACTTCCCATCCCAGTATAGGTAACTTGTGAATTAGAAGATCAAAAACACCCTCCTTACAAATCTCGAGCGCAAGCTGCGAAACTTGATCCATATTTGGTTCGGTCTCCCCATCTCCGGAAAGCAAGCATTTCATTGTTGTGAAATTCTTTTCAACTTCTTCCAAAGCCTATAATAAAGTAGAGCAGCATCATACTAAAAGAACTAGCAAATCATTAATCAAAGAAATATATCACGGCATTAATCTTCGTAATGCAACTGTATATCTAGCAATTAAGCTTCGTAATGCCAAGTGCCAACGAAATTGGGGAAACAAAAGCTAGTAACTTTGCTTACTCACGCGCGATATTCGACTCGAAAAGCACTTCTACACTTGCAAATTTGCTTGTACTAATCAAATTTCTTGGATTTAGGTCCATATAAATCAACCCGATTAACAGTTTCCCATTGATAAATGCAATGCTGCAGGCACACACACCCACAAAGCAAAACCAAGCAAAGATCTTGCCCCCAAATGTATAACCAAATTACAAATGCAAGTTTGGGATTTTGGAACAAGAACAATTAATCAAAAGCCCTAGAAATTGAGAGAGGGGACCTTTTCGAGGGCTTTGACTT